ATATATATATATATTACTCTGGTACTTTCTGTTATACTTTGACTCTTGGTGAGCTGGTGTATTTTAATATGAAAACGTATGTAATCTACCCCTAGAATTGTTTATCAGCTGCAGCCACCAATCAGGTTTTCTCCTTCCCTTTCTGTTTAAGAGAAATTCCTAAAAATTATCATTTTTAGTTTAAAGTAAAATATTGAACTTGCTCATCAGACCATTTGCAGTTTTTGTTGATAACCCAGTAAAATTATTTTCTGCATTGTTAAATAGAAGTTTCACTGTGATTTGATGCCTAACTTCAATTACATAAAGTATGTTTACTTTTAGATCACTGATGTATAGTGAAGCTAACAGACGGGAGACATTTACCTCATGGCCTCATGTAGGCTATAGGTGGGCACAACCAGATCCCATGGCTCAAGCTGGATTTTATCATCAGGTAAAAAAAAGAATGTAGAAAAGTACTTTTCTCAGTATGCCTTTGTAGCCTTCAGCAAAGTTACCGCTTTTGTTTTACTTGTTCAGAAACTTACTTTATGCAACTTGGTTGCTTGCTTGCTTGTATGCAGGTATGCTTGTTTGCTCAGACTGGACTGCAGTGCCACAATGTCAGCTCACTGCAACCTCCGCCTGTCAGGTTCAAGTGATTCTTGTGCCTCTGCCTCCTTGAGTAGCTGGGATTACAGGTGTGCACCATCACACCTGGCTAATTTTTGTATTTTTTGTAGAGATGGGGTTTCACCATATTGCCCAGGCTGGTCTCAAAACTCCTGACCTCAGGTGATCTGCCTGCCTTGGCCTCCCAAAGTGCTGGGATTACAGGCGTGCCTGGCCAGGAAAAAATTGTTTAAGCAATTAACAACTGAGTATTGTCTTTCAGATTAGATACAACTTTTTTTAAAAGCAATTATTTTTATTTTTTGTTTTTGAGACAGGGTCTCACTCTGTTGCCCAGGCTGGAGTACAGTGGCACTATCACTACTCACTGCAGCCTCAGCCTTCCCAGGCACAGGTAATCCGCCCACCTCAGCTTCCCTGAGTAGCTGAGACTACAGGTGTGTGCCACTGGGCCTGGCTAACTTCTGCACCAACCTAATTTTTTTTTTTTTTTTTTGTAGAGACAGGATTTCTGGTGTTGCCCAGACTTGTCTCGAATTCCTGCTCAAGTGATCTACATACCTCATCCTCCCCAAAGTGTTGAGATTATGGGGGTGAGACACTACGCTAGGCCATAATTTTTTAATAAAATCAACAAATAGACAATATTCTTCAGATTGGGTTTTTGACAAGTATTCTGTTTTGATGCATGTTTATTTCCACTGTTTGACATCTGCATTCATAACACAGTAGTAGATGCTTAGGGTAATGCATAAAAGAAGTTTTACAGTTTTAAAATTCTCATTATAGTTGGGATACAAATTATCCATATACTAGATAACTACAGAAGCAGCATTACAAGTAGTGCATTGCAACTTGAATATCTGTGCATTAAAGAACTGATTAAGTTGCACAGGTAGAGGAAGAATTAGTCAAGAAAAATAGTCATAGTTTTATGTAGGAAAAGAGGAGGGTATAAGGTGTAAGGATTAACATAGTACAGAGGCATAAGAATGGGACATTATAAAAAGCTTTGCCGAATTAGAGGGAAGTTAAGAAAAATGATTTTAGCTAGATGTTATTTAATATGTTATTTAACAGGAAACTTAAAGTGAATGGTATAGACTGGCTTATCACTGTTTTACCACTGCTAAAAGAATCAAGAAATCTAATACCTATATGTCAGTTTAAATAAAGCATGCTTATTTAACTTTATTTATTCATTTATTTGGGACAGGGTTTTGCTCTGCCACCCAAGTTGGAGTGCAGTGGCGTGATCACAGCTCACTGTAGCCTCAGCCTCCCAGGCCCAGGCAGTTCTCCCACCTCACCCCTCAAGTAACTGGGATTACAGGCATGTGCCACCATGCCCAGCTAATTCTGTTTATTTTTTGTAGAGATGAGATTTCACTATGTTGTCCAGGCTGGTTTCAAACTTCTGGGCTCAGGCAGTTTGCCTGCCTTAGCCTTCTAAAGTATTGTGATTACAGGTGTAAGCCACTGCACTTGGCCTAATTTAAGAATTCAAGTACATTTTGAAGTACATTAAAGTAACTGTCATTTAGAATCTGAAGATTGATTATTCCTTCATTATCTTCAAGTATTCTGAACATATGAACTAAAATTAAACTAGAAAACTATATATATATATGAATATTTTATTCAAAATTTGTCAGATTTCCAGTTACAGATAGGTAAGTTTGGAGACTGGCTAATATTAGAATCAGTGAAATTATTTCCCTAAATTAAGGATTGAACATGGACCATTTTTCTAGCAACTTGTCATCTTTCTTTTAATTTGGTGTAATTTTCTAAGAGTCTCTGTTAAGTGATGCCTTGATATTTTTTTCTGGTGAGTTATTGTTTATTATATTCTATCTTTGCAGAGAGGTCCAATAATGGGTTTCCTAGAATCCTCTGATTCTAGGAAATGTTAGGAGCTGATTATTTGTAATCTTCTAAAATGTATAATAAATTTGCGTCTATAAAGTAAATGTTCACAAATATTCATATTAGTTTTCAGGTATATTTCAGTTCAGGTTTTGAAAATATATATACATACATATATATGTGTGTGTATATATATATATATATATAAGTTGTACCTGGCCCTTGGATTGAAATATATATAGCATTTTGTCCCATGTTGTGTGAATTAGATTCCATATTATGTGAATTAGATTGACTACTTTGCTTTCCCTTTTTACTTGCCCTTCTTGTATAGTTGTATGGGATTTAGTATTTAATAATAAGCCCATTGGCTGGTGCAGTGGCTCACAGTTGTAATCCCAGCACTTAGGGAGGCCAAGGCAGGAGGATCGCTTAAGCCCAGGAATTTGAGACCAGCCTGGATACTTTAGGGAGACCGTGTCTCTACAAAAAAAATAACAGAATTAGCTGGGTGTTTTGGAACACTTCTGTAGTTCCAGCTGCTTGGGAGGCTGAGGTTGGAGGATCACTTGTGTCCAGGAGTTCAGTTCAGGGCTGTAGTGAGCTATGATTGTGCCATTGCACTCCAGCCTAAGACTCTGTTTCTTTAAAAGAGACAGTTTTAAAGATACTCTGTCTCTAACAAACAACAACAAGAGGCCAGGTGCGGTGGCTCAGGCCTGTAATTCCAGCACTTTGGGAGGCTGAGGGGGTTGGATCACAGAGTCGGGCTGAGGGGGTTGGATCACAGAGTCGGGAGATCGAGACCATCCTGGCTAACATGGTGAAACCCCGTCTCTACTAAAAATATGAAAAAATTAGCCGGGTGTGGTGGCAGGCGCTTGTAGTCCCAGCCACTCGGGAGGCTGAGGCAGGAAATCGTTTGAACCCCGGGAGGCGGAGCTTGCAGTGAGCCTAGATCGCGCCACTGCCCTCCAGCCTAGGTGACAGAGCAAGACGCAGTCTCAAAAACAACAACAACAACAACAACAACAGCAACCACAATAAATAGTGTAAACCAGCCAGAATCTTTCTTTTATACTTAATATTTCAGATACTTTATTATAGCAATTAGAAAAGTACTAGATCAGGGATTGCATATATGTGTACCTCTCTTTGATTTAGTGGTCATTTTCTGAATTTTCAAATAATACAGACAATTAATAAATATTTGGAGGTTTCAGTGTATTGTTGGACCTAATATTATAGGCTAATTTTCTCATTTTCAGTATAGAATTTTACTTAAAATTATGAACTTTTAAAAATAACTTTTATTATAAAGCTATTTTAATAATGATTTACCCTTTCTGTCTCTTTTCTTTGTAATTTTGCAGCCTGCCTCATCTGGAGATGATAGAGCCATGTGTTTTACTTGTAGTGTATGCCTCGTTTGTTGGGAACCTACTGATGAACCTTGGTGAGTCTTGATGTTTCTGGACATAATAGGCTAAGTCAGTCATGTAAATATGCTTCTAAATTTTACTTTTCTGCTTATAATTTTTTGCCTTTTGCCACCTATATTTTTGTCATTGTCCTGAGAATGAGATAGCCCTGTCTATACTCTGTCACACCACTTGGCATACAGTGTCTGTTAAGTTTGACTTTCTAAAATTTGTACAGGAGGGAAGTACCAAACAATAGAACCACACTCTGACTGAAAACCAGAGAGCTATGGTAAAGTGAACCCCAGCATGAGCTTTAGCAGTTGAATCTTGGTCTTTTGAGAGCAGGTTGTCAATAGGGAATCCATGAAGAGAGCCTTATAGTATACATTTCTAATTTTGAAGGAATTTTAGGGAGTCTTTGATGTCTCTGAATTTTAGTGCACGAAATTTTAGAACCTGGTTTAACATTAGAGATCATGTATTGAAACTTCATTTTCACAAATAACTATTCTGAGCTCTTATTAATAGAAATAACAGTATATTGTTAGAGCAAATTTTATATAAGATGGTATACTAGGTACCATTCTGAATACTTTATATATTTTTAAATCATTTAATTCTCATATTTCCCTGTGAAGTAGGTACTATTGTAGTCTCCATTTTATAGGAGGGAACTATGAATATTCTCCAGTTTAACCTTTATAGTTACTCTATGAGGTAGGAGTTACTATTCCATTTTAAAATGAAGAGAATAAAATTTGCTGAAGGGGCATATGGCTAGTAAGTGATAGAACCAGGTTTTGGTTTCAGGATATGTTGCTTGCTTTGTATTAAAATTAGTTTGAAGTCTCTGAATGTTAAATCAGCTGATGTGCCTGGGGCAGACTTGCTAAAACATATTGCAGTGTACCTGTGGAGTTCAGATTGGAAAATACTGTATGAAAAATTCAAGTTGTATCTATCTGCAGGCAGAGAGTTGAATACAGTAGTCCCACTTGTTTGCAGGGCATAATTCCAGTACCCATTGGATACCTGAAACAGCAGATAGTACTGAACCATATACATACTATATTTTTTCCCTATTCATCCATAACCTATGATAAAGTATAATTCATAAATTAAGCACAGAAAGAGATTAATAACAATAACTAATACAATTGAACGATTTTTTTTCCTTCAGATGGAGTCTTGCTCTGTTGTCCAGACTGGAGTGTAGCGGTACGATCTTGGCTCACTGCAGCCTCTACCTCCCGGGTTCAGGCAATTCTCCTGCCTTAGCCTCCTGAGTAGCTGGGATTACAGGCGTGTGCCACCACGCCCATCTAATTTTTCTATTTTTAGTAGAGATGGGGTTTCGCCATGTTTGCCAGGTTGGTCTCCAACTCCTGAACTCCGGTGATTGCCCGCCTTGGCCTCCCGAAGTGCTGGGATTACAGGTGTAAGCCACTGTGCCCGTCCTAACGTTGAACAATTTTAACAATATACTGTAATAATTTTGTGACTGTGGTCAGTCTGTCTGTGTTTCTCTCTCTCAAAATATCTTATTGTACTGTACTCATCTATTTTGGGACCATGGTTGACCATGAGTAACTGAAACCATAGAGAGTGAAGCTGTGGGCCAGGCATGGTGGCTCACATCTATAATCCCAGCACTTTGGGAGGCCGAGGCGCGTGGATCACCTGAGGTCAAGAGTTCAAGACCAGCCTGGCTAATGTGGTGAAACCCTGTCTACTAAAAATACAATAAATTATCTGGGTGTGGTGGCACACACCTGTAATCCCAGCTACTAGGGAGGGTGAGGCAGGAGAATCGCTTGAACTGGGGAGGTGGAGGTTGCAGTGAGCCGAGATTGTACCATTGCACTCCAGCTTGGGCGACAAGAGTGAAACTCCATCTCAAAAAAAAAAAAAAAAAAGAGTGATGCTGTGGATGAGAGGGGGACCTACTGTATGAACAGTTTTCAATTTAAGTTGAGTTTCTGTTTGGAGTTGTCTTTCCGCATAGAATCCATCTTTTTTTATATATATATATATAGAAACCATTTTAATATATATATTTTAGGTCCCTATGCCAATCCTCAAGTTATTTAACCTATACCTGAAAAATTATACAATATTATCAAATGTTATCTTCTTTGTAAATATTTTCTATGGAAAGTTGATTAAAATTTCCAACTTGGGCTGTTCAAAACCCATGTTTTCTTGACATGGCCAGGGATTCAGGGATTCTACCTCTTCTTTGCACCAGCATTTGGGATTCCTCAAACACTTAAGAAGTTGATGGGGTCTCTGAAGGCCTGGGGCAAGTCCTCCAAATGGGTAGGAGGAAAGAGGATTAATGGAGGCTGGGGAGCCTAGGCACCTTCTGAATGGTAAGGGGGAAAGGAAAAATTTGAAAGGGCAAATGGGAGTCATATTTTGACTGCGAGTTTAGATACAGTTCCTTTGAAGGGAGGTTGAAGTTAAAAACACAAAAAAATGGACCATACCCTAGTAACTAGCATTTCCACTTCTATTTACCTATCCTAGGGAGTTAATTGCTCTTGTATGCACAGAGGCATAAAGTGGATGGTCACTGCAGTTAAAAATCAAATCCTTTTAAATGCCCATCAGGAGGGGAATAGCCCAGTAGAATGTGGTATATTCATATAATAGACTGTGGTCCAACAGTTAAGGGGAATGAACAGTAAGATCTCTGTTAATCACTCTCAGTAACTTTCAGATATGTTATTGTATCAAGAAATCTTTTGTATTAATAGAATGATTGGTGATTGAATACATGATAAAATATGTATGTCATGTACAATGACACCAATTGTTTAACAATTTAAAACCCTGTATTTTATTTAAAAATTTTTTCACATGTACTTCCACATCATATATTTTCTATATGTACATTTATGTATGTAAACTTATAAAAAATATTTTAGAAATGTATCACTTAAATTTGTAATGATGGTTTCCTGGAGGTGGGATTGGAAATTACTGGGATTAGATTTTAAAATTGATATGGGTCTTTAGCTTTATTTTATATAGCCGTGTGTAACTTGTATAAATAAAATTTTATTGAAAAAGTTAAAACTCAGGAAAAAGAGAGAGATGGAAAGTGGTAAAGTACGCTAGATTTAGCTAGGAGGGAACCTGGCCCAAATGTCATTTGCTTGGAGATGCACTGTAAAAGGATTAGGAAAGACATCTGCATATTAAAAATTGCCCAGGATTTATATATGGATTTATATGTGTAAGTTGTAGGTGCATGGTAAAAAGAAATACATAGATTGTAAGGAGTAGCATGTTTTATGTGTAAAGTTCTTTCTTTGACATGGAAATAAAACAATGAGTTAAAAACAATTTTAAGAAACATTTATTTTTTAAATTTTATTTTATTATTTATTTATTTTTTTTTTTGAGACGCAGTCTTACTTTGTCGCCCAGACTGGAGTGCGGTGGCGTGATCTCGGTTCACTGCAACCCCTGCCTCCCAGGTTCAAGAGAGTCTCGTGTCTCAGTTTCCCAAGTAGCTGGGACTACAGGTGTGCGCCACCACGCCCAGCTGATATATGTATTTTTAGTAGCGATGGGGTTTCCCCATGTTGGCCAGGCTGGTCTGGAACTACTGACCCCAAGTGATGCACCCACCTCAGCCTCCCAAAGTGGTGGGATTACAGACGTGAGCCACCACACCCAGCCTATTTTGTGTTTTAGATACGAGGTCTTGATATATTGTCCAGGCTGAAGTGCATTGGCTATACACAGGTGTGATCACAGCTTACTGCAGCCTCATATTCTTGGGCTTAAGCAGTCCTCCTGCCTCAGCCTCCTGACTGACTGGAACTGTGTGCTTTACCATCATGCCTGGCTCATGGGTTCTTGTTTTGGTAGTAGGATCCTGACGTTTCTAATGCCTTATAATTATAGCTAATAGAAATAAAAATAAGGAGTAACCAGAAAGAAATATAAAGGAAGCATAAAGTTGAGCAGATAGGTGCTAAGTTGATCCTGCTTACAATATTTGAGTCATTATACCAGTCTTCATCGGAGGTCCTAGTATTTTATTTAATATTTTAATTTAAATTTTTAAATTTTTTATTTTTTAGAGACAGGGTCTTGCTCTGTCGCTCAGGCTGGAGTGCAGTGGCACGATCGTAGCTCACTGCAGCCTTGAACTCCCAGGCTCAAGGGATCCTCCTACCTGAGTCTCCCGAGTAGCTGGGACTACAGGCACATGCTATCACACCCACCTAATTATTTTTATTTTTATTTTTTGTAGCAATGAGGTCTCACTGTGTTGCCTAGGCTGGTCTCAATCTCCTGGCCTCAAGGATCCAACCACCTTGGCCCCCCGAAGTGCTGGGATTACAGGTTGAGCCGCTGTGCCCAGCCTGTGTTTTATATTTCTTAAACTTGTTACGTTTTTTAATTTAACGTTTCTTTTTGTTCAGTAAGCATTTATTTGAAAGAAGTAGTGTATAATTTACTAACTTTACATTCCTAAGGCTCTTAGGAAATACATTTTATTTAAAAATTATTTGTCTGATTTGATCGTATAGTGAATACATAAGGTATATTTGTGTTCTTAATTTATATTATTTTATTCATACTAGAGATCTTTCTGCTTTCAGATCTTTACTAAAAAACTTTTTAGTAAAATAATGTAGTAAAATATTTAGTAAAATAACTTTTTGTGTTATGAGTGGCATTTATTGAGTTTCAACTGTATATTATTTATAGTTGTGGCCCCTGATAGATATGGAGAATTTTAAAGTGAAACCTAGTAGTTAATCATTCAAAACTGTAGGAAACCAGTGCGAGGAAATAACAAGAGTTTAAACAATTTTGTAGTATGTAATATAGCATTACTTACACTATAGCATTAGTTTCTCAGTTTTGTCTGAGATTGACTTTATAATCAGTTAAAGTGAATAACAACTGCTATTGTTAAATGTTTGGAATATTGAATGTGTGAATATTATAAATGGTTGAACATGTTAGAGTGATCTTCATAATATTGAATGATTTGGTTATATTAAGTCTTTAATGATGAATAGTTTAAGTTCAGATAAAAAAAAGATGATGATCCTGGAGTTCTGTTTTAATGTACAAACTGAATTGCTTTATTTTTAGTAAACTTTTCCTTTCTTAATCTGTGTAAAGGTCTGAACACGAAAGACATTCCCCAAACTGCCCATTTGTGAAAGGTGAGCACACACAGAATGTGCCATTGTCAGTCACCCTTGCAACAAGTCCTGCACAGTTTCCTTGTACGGATGGAACTGACAGAATATCTTGCTTTGGGTCGGGGAGCTGCCCTCATTTTCTAGCTGCTGCAACTAAACGAGGGAAGATCTGCATATGGGATGTTTCCAAACTTATGAAGGTATGTTTGAATTTTGAAGTAACAAATTAGTAACTGAAAAAAAAATCAGTTGTAAACTTAGGCTTTTCATTTGTTTAGGTGCACTTAAAGTTTGAAATTAATGCCTATGATCCAGCAATTGTACAACAGCTTATTCTGTCAGGAGACCCAAGCTCAGGAGTTGATTCAAGGAGACCAACTTTGGCGTGGCTGGAGGACTCCTCTAGTTGCTCAGATATACCAAAATTGGAAGGAGATAGGTATGTGAGTTTGTTTTAGTAGTATTTAATAGATGTTAACATGTTTTCCTAAATTTTATATTCTCATAGTTCTAATAATTAAAGAGGAGGGAAAAAAAGTTATGCAGTTAAGAGATCAGAGAGTAAATGTTTGGTTGGAAATCTGAAATCTGTGATTCTTGAAGAAAAATCTTCAGAAACAGCATAGTTTATAAAATATACTTAACATTCTGTCACAATCTATGTCAATTGGAAATAATTGCCACATTGAACAATAGATGATGAAAAGTCACATTGAAAGTCTAAATAATGAAATGAAATTATACTGTAGTTTCACCTTCTACTAAATCTTTTTCATAGAGCAGTTGAACTAGACGATTTCAGTTTCCCTTTTTTCATTAGCACCTCAAATTATGGCAGTGCTAATGAATAATAATAATGGAATAACCTGAGGTGAAGTAAGAAGATCTAATTGTTTAAAACAGTGTACCAGTAGTCAGCAGTGAGTTGAGGTACCATAATTATTGCTAGAGAAATATTTTGGTAAAATTGCTGTTCTGGATTCTCCTTCACTCAACTTCTCTGAGAGATTCCTGATTTTTGTGCTGCATCTGATGTAGGTGGGGTGGGAGAGTCTAAGTATCACCCTCCTTCACTTACTTGTGTCCTAAGAACCACTACGGGTTTGACTGAACTGGGCTAATAAGATTCTGTAGGTGGGAGGAAAAAAGATTCTGTAGGCAGCCATGTGAAATGGAGCTATTTAACTGTGATCAGATGTCTTGATAGACTGAGAATATCTGACTTCCAGGGGCTCCTTATGTTACTGGTATGTGATGGGTATTACTCTGTAGTCAGTGATTTATCATTTTACTTCACAACCCCTTTGGTGGGATGTACTTTCATTAAGGAATAATGTAAAATTTTATTAATGGAAGTTATTTCATTAAAGGAATTAGGGGAAAATTTACAATATATGTATTACTTCTATCTAGTTCCTCTTGGTAATAACATTGAATAAAGCCTTGTGGTTGTTCTATTAATATAAATCTCTGTGAAAGCTTAATGGGAAAGCAGCTTAACTGTTGTCTTGAGTTTCTGACCATATTTTGCCAATAGGACTAGATATTAAGCGTACCTGATTTCTCTGATTTCTTAGAAGTTAGTGGAAAAGTAATAGAAGATAATGAAATCTATATGTCCTTCTAGGCACTTACTTTGAACTTTGTCTTGACGTTTTGTAATTTGGGGATTAAAAATTGAATCAAAATATACTTCTAGGATTACATATACCCACACACATATAGTCACAGCCTCCCAGGTAAAATGTGCATTTTAGATAAACATGTATTCTGTATTACTAGTGGAAATACTCCTCAACATTATATGGGATAACGTGCTTGAGTTGAGGTAATCTCTACTTGCTTTTAAGAAATGTGTAATCTAGGGTCGAAGGTCGGTTTTCTCTGAAGAAAGTCTCAAACAAATCATACAAAAACATAAAGTTAATGTGGTAGGAGGAAGCTGAAGAGGTGAAACTTCATCCCTAACCTTACGCCCCCTCTCTGCACTTCCCCTCCCCAAGAAGTAGGAGCAGTGCTGTTGGAATTGATAGTGAATATAATGAGCCATGCTACATCTGACTTTATGTGGCACAAGATCCAATATATTTGGTTATAAAATATACTATGTGGGTTTCATTAGCTTGAAGAATAATACATTAATTGGAAAAAATCTAAGCTTATCCAAGAAGTTTAAAGTAATTAGCAATATAGCTTGCTTAGAATCGTTTTTGTAAAATTTATTTTTATTTGTTGTTTACATTGAAGGAATGAGGAATTGTTTTTGACCATTTTTTCTTAGAAGACAATATTTTTTTTCTGAATTAAGGAAGAAGATTTGGTAATACATTTAATTTTAATGAATTAAGATTTTTTTCTAGATGATTCACTTATCATTTGTATATCAGGTCAGATTGGTAAAAATTTCTTGAATGTAAATAAAATTGTTTATGGGATTGCTATAAACCAAGGTACCCTTACTAGTATGTCTAGTTTTCAGAAACACATATAATCTTAACTAAACATTTTTACTTTAACTGTAATATTTATTTTGCATGTATATTGCTTTGTAAAAAGTTTTGCAAAATGTAGAAGGCTTTAGTAAATACAGTGCCTATTACATAAATAGTGCATGCTTATTGCAGGAAAATGGGAAAATGCAGGAATGGAAATTGATGAAATACAGAGTAGTCATAATCACACTATGGAATTATAGTAACGTTTATATGTATTCTAGTTTCTTTTTAAAATGCATGATTTTTGGGTTTTTTTTTTGTTTTTTTTGAGACAGAGCCTCACCCTGTCACCCAGGTTAGAGTGCAGTGGTACGATCTCGGCTCACCGCGACCTCTGCCTCCCAGGTTCAAACGATTCTTCTGCCTTAGCCTCATGAGTAGCTGGGACTACAGGTGCCTGCCACTACTCCTGGCTAATTTTTTGTATTTTTAGTAGAGACAGGGTTTCTCCATGTTGGCCAGGCTGTTCTCAAACTCTGGACCTCAGGTGAGCCACCCACCTTGGCCTCCCAAAGTGCTGGGATTACAGGCGTGAGCTGCCGTGCCCAGCCACATGTGATTTTTAAAAAAGTTTTATTGAAGTGTAATTTTCAAACCATAAAATTCATGTAAGTGTACAATTTAGTTATTTTGTTCATATAATTTTTTTTCTTTTTTTTTTTTTTT